CCAGGGAGGAGGGCCCGATTGGGGTCCGAATCAGGCCGGTTGGCTGCCACAGTGCATTTCATAGCCACTGGTTGTTCCGTTCTGGTCGCTGGGCTTTTATATATAGAGATTGTATTATTTTCCATACAAACTGTAAACCTACTTTTGCCCTACCCTATATGTGCAAAGTTTAGAAACACATCTTGTTACTTTTTTCCATTTTTATTTTCAACGAAATAAAAAAAGGAAGAACATTCATATTAAAAGTTAACTAACCAATTTAGAAGGCCAAGCAAAGGTAATAATAAAGCATCTCTCCGATCTCAACATCACAGGCGAGCCCTGTTTATATACTTGGACCTCACTATTGTCACTGGTAAACGCAAGTGACTAGCCACAGGGAGAAAGTCAACATGAGACATTAAGTGTAAAATTCGCGGCATGTTCTGTACGCATGTACCTGCGGACACCACCTATGGGTTTTTGTTCAACAACGAATATAGTACTTTCACATTTCCCAATCTCCCTGCCACAGGCTGACCCATCTCTCCCCTCCCTGGAAAAACTCAAAAACAGAGAAAATGGAGATGATTTTATGGAAAGATTTTCTAACCACTAATTCAATTCTTCTGTTAGAGATAGGAGAGGTCTGGTTTCTATTTCTTAAGTCAGTTTGAATAAGAAGCAATTTTCTAGGAATATGTTCATTTCATCCAAGTTTACAAATACGGTTGTCATTTGTAAATTAAGCTCCTTATGTTAGAAAATAAAAGAAAAATTAAACACTTAAGGTATAAATTCTCTTCTAAATACCCCACTGAAGGCATTCCCAAGTTTTGATTTTTTTAAACTACTGGTCCAGTCTAAATATTTTGGCATGTCCATTATTTTCTTCTTTGGCCCATAAATTATTTAGAAGTGCATTTGTAAGTTTCCAAGTATAGGGACCTTTATAGCTTATTGGTTTTTAGCTTTCAATTATAACACAGACAACAGTTTTATGACATGAACCCTTTGAAATTTGATGAAATGTGCCTTATGGCTTAATATGTGGTCAATTTTATAAATCTCTCT